CTTTTCCATCTCACTTTATGTCATCGAAAACGATCATCAGTATGTATTGTCTGTTTTTTTAAATACTGACATTCGTTGTTTGTTATCACAGCGAAGCCATTAACAAATCAAATCCTAACGCAGCTTATCCGCCAGGATTCACCATGACTGAACTGAGGATGTTTATGCAAATATAAAATTCTATGGATCAATTTCTCGAAACAGAACGCAAACAAAAATGTATTTACCTTGCTAAGGGTAAGTAGATTAAAAATGAGAAAAAAAGCTGAATAAACATTTCGAAACTATATTAAATGTTAGACGATCGGATATTCTACGATTGCATAAACTCCCTGAAATCGGTAATAAATGAAAAACTACCATGAATCCCTACAAAGAGCACCTTACAATCTTCCAAACTACAAACTCAGAATTTTGAAGTCCGTTATTTCGACAGGTTTACTAGTTCCACAGTTAAAGAAGTCACAAACCGTTTTACATATAAAACAAACCTACCAAGATTCGACACGATATTGTCCAGCGATACGATAGCATGTATTGACGGATTCTCTCGGCAAATCCCCAGATAGAAATATCGATAAGGGCAGTGTCACTCACGCGATACTTCCACAACCCCCTCTTCGTCCACTCATACTCTATGAAAACTCCACGTGCAGACTTTAGCTGCACCCCCTATCTGTCGTCTTCCTCCGTCATCCCCCCTCTCCATCCCTTAACCACCCCATCCTTCATCCTCCACCTTCGGCTCGTCCTTCTTTTTTATCTGCCCGAGCTCGTCCACGTCTCTTTCTCCGTCCCCTCTTCCCCCTCACCCCTTTCCGTTCACCCCGTACGACGACTCATCCCGGCCACGAAAACCACCCCTCGTGCCACCCTCGGATCCACTTGCACGCCATGGGGTAGTTTAGCATCTCAGCCCTTCGAAAACGAACCTACCCCTCCTCTCTATCTCCTCGCCCTCCCATCGCGTCACGGCGCACAGCAGTTTTTTTCCGTCCGACACGACGCGACGCCACGTTCGAGAGAAGAAAAAAAGAACGGAGTAGCGGTAGGTAATCATCCCTTCGAGTTGGCGAACACCGTATTAGCTCGTCCAGGTGCTGGACAATCGGTTGTGACGCTTCGATCGGTCGATTCTCCGGAAAATGCAACGTTGGTCGATTGGATTGTTCTGTAGGGACATGTAGGTACCGTTTCCGTCGAGAATCGACAGGGTTGATGGAGGTTTTTTTGAAAGCAGAACACCTACATATAGGGATTCGTGTGTTCAGTGATTCCTCGATGAATGCGACAAGAGCAATGGCGTTATTCCCACGACTGGAGTGGTACCCCTCTGGAATCAATCAAAACAGAGTAAACAGAAGCTAAACAGAAGCTCGGCTTCGGGTAAATAACAAATTTATGGGGAGCTGAAAATATTGTCGTCTTGTCATGATGCTCCGTAGTGGACTCGAGTACGTTTATTTATACTACAATAATATTTGAATTAATAGTCTGTCTAATAAGAAGTGAACGGTAACATTTTACCAGATATCATAAAAATTCCAGTGAATTCTAGTTTTATCGAAGAGGTTCATTAAGATCAATTGATAAATAGTTTGGCGAATGATATCCAGGTATTAGATTGGCCTTCACCTAACGCGAATTCAATTAAAAATGTATGAGAATATATGAAGTTAGAGCTTCCAAAGAAAAATACATGTAATTTAAAACTAGTGCATCAAATTCAATTCACATGACAACTTTCATTAAGAAACTATTTTTCTTACTTCCACAAATCGAATGATATTCCAGATGGTATTTACTTATCGATCCACCCTGTACACTATTACCTTCATAATCGAACAAAGAACGAAAAATGGCGTGACTGGTATCGGTCAAATTCCACGAATCCCTACATTACCATACCGCAAGTCCGGTCTCATTAATTACTGTCGAACGAACCGATAAAAATACCTTGCATAACCATTCGAGACTTCCCCGTTCGTTCCAACAGTCGACGATGAAAGAAGACGAAGAATCGAAACGCGGCGGTTAAAACAAACGATTCAATTATCCCCCGTCGCCACGGAGAATCGTGATCGCGTGGACATTTGCGTCCAAGGCGAGCCGGTCTCGCCGATTCAATTTCGCATAAACACAAAAGCGTTCACTCGCGGCCGTCACGAGGGTTTTGTCATCGGCGCATCAATGGATGGAAAATGAGGGAAACCGTCGAGTTCGCATGAATCCTGGTCGAGAATGAGAAAAATCGATCCACGACGATACCCGCGGAGTTAATTGGCCGGTTGCTATATCGACGACGGTTTCTCGGTTGGATTTTGCATTTACCGCCGGTTCCGGCTCGACGTTCAAACATTCACTTGGCCGTGTATCGAGCGGCGACTTTGATTGAAATATCGTCGGAGTGTCCGACGCCGTGTAAAATCCTTGTAATTACTACGGACGACTAATAACATGCTCGCCGACGGACGTACACCGCGAGTAAGTATTAAAACACCTGGTCTTGGTACGAAGAAAATGTTATTTTGTTGTAAAATTCATATATTTTCGGGTGGTTTTATTACTTCATAGTAGCATAAGCGTTGGCCATTGAACTTTAACCCTGGGAACGTTTTTAATTTTCGTACAATAATCGTGCTTGGGTCCGATTGGACCCCTAATAGTTTCTAGCAGAGTTGGGCAGAATTTTATTCGAATAGTACACAGTGAAAAGCAGCAGTATCTAAGGGTGTCGTTCTGAGCTTTAAACAGTCGATGAGATTAAATAATTGTTCAACAAATGTCGATTCATTTATGAAGAAGTATTATTTTATTATAAAAATTGAAATTGCCACGTTTAAACAATTAAAAATGACGAAATACTTTTTTTGTCTTTTATTCGTTATTCGAAATTATTTATCTAGATAATGAGTTTGCCCATCTCTGGTTTCTATTTCTTAAATATTATTTTCGAACGCAATCATTCAAGATGATCTACTGTCTTATATAGTTTAATATGAACAACTGCTAGCTTATGCAAGATTCATAGGTTGAGTTAGATGAAGCTTTCAGAAACTAATATTCCCTAAACAATATTTGTTTTACTTTTTCAACGATTTCATGCATACACTGCATATTCGATAAATGTCCCAATACTTACGACTAAAAGTGTATCTACTTCATCTAACTTTCCATTCAAGTCGATAAAGTTATTGTAGGTACGTTGAAATGACGATCAGTAGTATCCAACAAAAAACTTAACCCTCATCGGTACCTCATTTTCCTAACTTAATTTATCCTCTCGGTGTCAAATTGACGCAAAAATGGTACAAAATCATTATAGTGACGGGATCACTAGTTAAATTTACCAAGTCTTTAAAATAAAACTCACATAGCCTCAGGTAAATTGACCTATACAAGAAAAAATAACTCCTCTTAGGATCAAAAAGGCCCCAAATTGACACAGGACAAATATCGATTATCGATGACAGAAAATCTGTAAAAGGATAACTCAGCATCCTGGGCAATGACTCTGCTAACGATTGTTCACACCGTTCCCAAGAAAGATCACCGCTCAGACGAGATATCGTCGTGTTCTTACTTTCAGGACCCCTCTGTCGTGAACCCCGGTGTGTCCCTTCCTCTTTCGACACTTCCCTCGTTATCTCGCGGCCGAAGTTTCTTACCAGATAATAATTACGAGATGTTTCGCATCGACACGGAATACCACTGGCTGGGAACTTGGCCGAAAGTTTCTAAGGAGCCAAGCACAACTCGCCGGAACATCGTCGGAACAGGCCCCCACCCAGCGATGTAAAGGGGCCTCTCTCGGCTGCTGTATTGTTCGGGACCACGGGAGATCCCTCCTCTCCTCGAATCGCCTAAATGATCATTAATTAAGCGACTGTTCGGCCGGTGTAATCGGGCAAAAACCGACGACCGCGTTTGCTTTCGTGAAATGTGCTCCTGTCGCGGTGAATCCTGGTGTGTCGACGGGTTTGTCTCGTCAGGGGGGGTTTAACAAGGCTCGACGACAGGCCGATCGATGGGAAGAATGACTCGGTATTATTGGCGGGAAATTTTCCCGTCGATTTTTTGCGTGGAATCTGAATGGAAGGTTGTTAACCCCCTGGTGGGACAGATCGGTGACATTGATGCCGCGTTGGTGGACTCAAGGAACACATTGTAACGTGTCGTAAAATACTTTCTTGACTGTTCATTGCACAAGACATTGGAATATGAAGCTACATAAGTTGTTGTGCAGTTATTTAAATGTTTTTGGTTTAATGAAACGTAATGGAGAAGATTGCGAAGTGGTGGAGTTCACCTTGGATTAGTGGACTCTTCTAACAAGGGAAGGCACGGAAGCGTCCATCTCCAATATTTATGAAACTTCGTATGTCTGTTTAGCAGTCAAAAATAAGGGATATGTATTTTTTTTTATCGGCTGACACGGGAATTTAAGGGGCGAAACCACCCCTCGAAGTTTCGATCCGAATTTTTTTGTTATAAACAAATTATATTTTGGACAATTTGTTAGCACCATATTATTCTACATAAAAAATTGCAAACCTCGTCCATTAGAAGTTTTCATGTATCTCCTCTGGTTTTCAAGATAGTACTTTCGCGTCGAAACTTCGAGGGGTGGTTTCACCCCTTAAAGTCACGTCTCAGCCGATAAAAAAAAATACGTATTCCTTATTTTTGACTGTTTAACAGACATACGAAGTTTCATCAAAATCGGAGGGGGACACTTCCGTGCCTTTCCTTGTGAGTCTTTGAGAATGTTGTATTTTCTACGTTATTAATTGCGATGAAGTATGCGCGTTTGTATATTAGGTACGTGTTTAAACCAGAAATGAGGAAATCCATTATCTGGATAAAGAGTTTCGAAGAACGAATAAAACGTAAGAAAGTATTTCGCCATTTTTAATTGATTAGGCGTGGAAATTCCAATTATTATAATAAAACAAATTGGCAGTGTATTCTCAACGGGGAAAAAAATTCTCATTTTCCAGAGAATGGTCTGCCGAGGAGGCTACGAACGGCCTACACGAACACTCAGCTCCTGGAATTGGAGAAAGAGTTCCACTTCAACAAATACCTCTGCCGACCGCGAAGAATAGAGATCGCCGCGTCGCTGGACCTCACGGAAAGGCAGGTGAGAACAACGGAGAATATCCCAACGTCCAATAATATCTCACCCTTACGAGCTATTCAACGTCGAATCGTAAAAAATTCATCACCGATTCTTTCCAAAACCCACGCGATCTTCTTATAATCTTACAAAACTTCTATAAAAATTTTCGTTCTTCGACATAAACGACTTCCAATTTCTTTGCAAAAGCATTTTCTTACACCAAAATAGAAAGAGCCCACTTCTGTATTTTTTTAACGACCAATAAAAATACCGTCGATAAAGGGATCAGAATTTTTCACGAATATTACCACTTTGATGTCGGATGACGTAGTACTACGTCTTCCTTAAATAAAAACTAGAATAGCAAAAAATAGGGAAAAGTCTTCCTATGTCTAAAGTTTCACAAATAAAAGTTAAGTACTAGTTTCTAAATATTTTTAGAACACCTCAAGTTGTATATTCTAAATCACAAAAATCCTGCCGCCAGCAAAGTGTGGCAATTTTAGAGAACAATTACGCGCATAACCCAGAGGAAAATTCGTTTTGATTCCAGGTGAAGGTATGGTTCCAAAACCGTCGTATGAAGCACAAACGGCAAACGTTGAGCAAAGAGGACGGCGACGAGAAGGACGGTTCGACGTCCGACGGGATGGAGAAGTCGAAGGGCGACAAGCTGCTGGCGATCGACGGCGACGAGAAGAAGAGCTGCCACAACTGTGATATATCCGGCGTGAGCGATGTAGGCAGCACGTTATCCGGCGACGTAACGGAGCTCAGTTCGTCCGGTCGTCGAAGCAGCAGCAGCAACAACAACAACAACAACACGCCTAGCGTGACGAACAACAACAACAACAGCAATCCAGGATTCAACGCAAACAGTAACGGAGCGAGCAGCGTCGGAAGCACGAACAGCGTGTCCAGTTCGTTCGAGAAGATGATAGCGGACGACGATTCGAGGTCCCAAGACGGCAGCGAGGTGACGTCCCCAAGTGTCGGTTCGAAAAAATTATCCAGTGACGTCAGAGTAAAAGTGGAAAGTGGACACAAGAGTCCCAATCCTGGGAAACAGATCTCTGTTAGCAAAAAATCACCGTCGGCCACCACCAAGGAGCTCTGCTCGGTGAACAGCAACGGTGTCCTATTGGCTATGCCCGATTCCACCGTTGGTACACCTGTTCTACCTGGCCAGAACTCCGCAAGAAGCCTAACGCCGTCTTCGACGCCTGGCACCCCCGTGTCCGTGCAATTGCAACAAGGCAGTCCACTAGGAATCCAAGCTACCCACGCAGCCTACATGCAAAGACCCAGGAGCTCTCCGTCCTCAACGAGCTCAGTAGCGCCACCTATGATGCACGGATCTACAAACGCCGGAACCATGTCCCCCCACGGCGCCAGAAACATCCCAAACAACCAACAAACGCACTTCCAACAGCAGAGTGTCTACCATTCGACGTCGACCGTTGACTACAGAAACGGCGTGCCCAATAGACAGCCGGTCCCAACAGCCGCTCCACAGACCCAATCCCAGAACAATTATTGCTCCCGTGATACCTATCAACAGCCCAGGATTTCGTATCCAGGCGAGGTCCACCCGTTGTACGCGAGACAGAACCAGGTACTCGGTTCCAGAGTTAGCCACCACGTTCGTGGTACAACCAGCAGTACAACCAGGACGATGTACAACGCGAACATGCAGTTCCATCAGCAACAGACGCAGTACGGTAACACCAGTGGCGAGTACAACGGCTACCCTCAAGCTGGCCCACCTTATCACGCCTCGTATCATCGGGGCATGCAAGGTAGCAACGCCTACGGGCCCAGCCAAGGGTACTCTCAGCACGATCAGACCGCTGAGAGCTACATGACATCGGGCAACTACGGTTACCCTGTCAGCGGGAACTACCACGGGACCAGCGAGAACCTAACCTCCCATGGACACGCGGCAGTCTCCGTGCAGAGTGGGCAGCATTATTACAACGACATCCAGCAACAACAACAGCACCAACAGCAACCCACAGCGGAAGGTTACGTGGCCCATCAGCCCCCTATGCATCCCAGTTCTGGTGATTATAGAACAGGTAACAAGTGTCACCCGAACGCCTACTACGAGCCGACCAGTCAGCTACACGTCCATCAGGGCGGCGAAGCGTCCAACATTCCCAACAGCTACGTCTCGTCGCCCGACCCGTTCCCAGCGCCTGGAATGACGACAACCGCGACGGCCATAGCCGCCGCAACCGCAGCAGTGATCACCCCTCCAGGTAGCACGGGCCAGGCAGAGGGTAATGGAGATTCGTACGGGAATTATGGGAATTTTTACAACGACCCAGTCCACGCATCTGCCCCGCCCCCGTCAGCAGACAACAGCAACAGCTCGTCGGACTTCAATTTCCTCACGAATCTGGCCAACGACTTCGCCCCAGAGTACTATCAGCTCAGCTGAGTTCATGAGACCGAGAACCCATGCCAGCTGGACTGGAGCGACGAGCAGTGCCTGCTGAAAGTGCGCGAGTGTTCCAGGATAATCGAGCTCCGCGTCAGAGGACGATAAAGATTACCAGTCGATGTTACGTCGATGCTTCGTCAGTGTTTAGCGACCGACGGAACTGTGAGGGAAATTGGGTAGTGGAGATCGAAGTGGTAGAGGCGACGGATGACTCGTGTGAATGACATCTGTGTTGGTCCCAGTGACGCGGTTACGACATCCTTGTCAGAGTGAGCCAATCTGTGTTTAGCGAATGTTTATGTGGATTTAGAATCTTTGTCGAGTTCGAGGACTGTGGCCTGCGTTCAGGATGCTCTGTCGAGTACGTGAAATAGTCTTCTGTGAATAATTGTGTTCAGTGAGAATTGAATTGCTCGAACCATCGATTAAGCAGTCTGAACGCTGCCTAGTTGATCGAAGCTACCTGGATTAACTCTACGAACATATGAATCGTTGGATTGGTACGAACTGACAGGAGTGGCTATATTACAGTCTTCAAGGATCGGATTAGTGCAACGATGGTCTCCCAGAGGGAATCATTCTGAACAGTTTCTTTGTCCCTAATTTGTCACGTTCATTCTCAGTGTACCTGGTCCACTGTTCCTGTTATGCATCGACGTGACCTTCCCTAGTATACCTGGTTTAATGCACACCGAATTTCGTTACGCTAACCGAAACTTTCCTGTGCCTAACACGAGCGACGATTAAATTGCTCAAGTGTCCACTCCTGTTGTTTCGACGTCGATCCAATGAACAATCCACCAACGAAGTGACATGCTTTCTAACCGACGATCACCTCCGTCCGTGAACAATGATCACCTCGACTGATCGATCATTTTCAACGTTACGAGCACGTTACAACCCCAGAGTCGGGAAGCGAGTTCAAGACCGCACGAAACGGACTGTAAATCTCGATCGACGTACAATAACCAGTGCGAGCAGAGTGTGCGTGTAAATATACATAGTTATAAATACGAAGCAGAGGGTGGATTCGGTTCTCGCTATCGAGAACACGATGTGCAAGTGCAATCTTAATGATGTGAACGGATTCTTAAACGTAAGTTTTTAGCCCCCCGCGTAGCGTGTGCGAGCGTGTGATCGAACGGGCGTGAGTGGCCGCCATTTTGTGCTCGAATGCGCGGTGGCGCCATCTTATCGGGCAGGTCGACGTGGACACTCGGTTGTACCGATCGAAACAATCTTCAGAAAAACAGAATTCAGACATTAAAACATTCGAAACGATCTGTGAAGCCTGATACACCCCCCGTCGATAAGGGTGTAGATTCACGAGCAATAATTGATAGTGAGAGATACGCGTGTACATAAATTAAAATTAATTCAACGGGAAAAATCTGACGATACGTAACAAACAAACTCGGCTTCTGCTAGGGGAAAAAGTGAGATAGGGAAAATTTAATATTTATTTCGGTACTTCAAATAAATTTATCATGTGGCAGGAGGCCTTTCTCGTACGTCACTTTTTCCCCTAGCGGAAGTCGAGTTTGCTCGCGAGTGTACACCAAGGAGCAAACTCGGCTTCTGCTAGGGGAAAAAGTGAGGTAGTTGAAGGGCCTCCTACAATCTAGTTTTGGGAGTTACTGAAATTGATGCCAAATTAACATTCGGTTTAACATTTATTTCAGTGCTTGAAATAAATTTATTAAGTGGTAGGGGACTTTTCTTCTACGCCCTTTTTTTTCCTAACCGGAAGCCGAATTGGCTCGAGAAGGTACATGTCATCCCCGTGAGTGAGCACAGAGTATACAATCCGAGTGGGTCGAGCGTAGGTGCAATGCATTAGTTTTAATTTAACGAGAAAGAAAAAGCAAAAAAAATACCAGAACATAATCGTGTAACTGCCTACTGTAAGAAACCGACATCCGTTCGGCCCTGAGCAGCGTTAGGGTCGCGAAGAAAAATGCACTTCGTGAACTGGGCAAGAGAGAACGTTTCGTGAAAAAATGACAGAACTTTTCCGTCGTTTCGTTCAATTCCCCTGCTATAATTTCGACGTCGTTCGGACAGCTTTCTGGACGTCGAACTTCTTCCAAACAACAGACAAGACTTCGACGACCGATGGTTGGATCCGAAACGGCACGAATGTCGCGTCGAATATGTTCGTTCAGTGCAATCTGGTGATCGTTGATCCCAACGACGCGTTTACTTTTTACTGTGCGTGGTACGGTTGTTGCTTTTCTTTTTTTATTTCTCTTAAGATTAACCAGGCAAAACGAGATTATATTTTTTCATTCGAAAGGGAAATTATTCGATCATTTTTTCACAGACACCCGCGCGTTTCCGATCGGAACTTCTGCCACGATCGAAGCGAAACGAGTTGTTCGCTCGAGGTCGAATTTCTTCTGCCCTTAAACTACACCACGAAAATTATCTCCGGTTGGATTACACGCGGTACCTTATCTCACCTGTTCAACGTAAGCTCTGGGTGGGCTTACGGAGCCTCCCCCACTCTGTCACCGTTAATTCCACGCTGCTTTGCCTTCGTTACTTTCCACAATCTGTTCGCGTAGACATTATTATTCCGTACACATGAGTCCCATGCAAGCAGACCACGACGTGGATACGTACTGCACAGAACAGTACTGCTTTATATTTTAATTTAAAGAACAGAGATCTTGAAGAGAAACAATTAGGTAATCAACAAAGTTCGTGCCATTTTTATCAATAGAGATAAGGATTGCAACAAACAATACTTCAGAAACATAGACACCTTTGGCTTCTATTACCTATTCTCAACAATTTAATAACGTTTATATTCCTTTCTTATAAAACTTTTTCTCTCTGGTATCGAAAAAGTGCTTTAACTCCCTTTCAAAGTCTTGCCTACTTTGGAATTACTAATTACATAAACGGTTGTCTGTTGTTAAAAAAGGATGACAGTCCGAAGGCGCGATTTCTGGGGAATATAGGGGATGGTTCAATCGGCCCCTGGTGCCCACTTTGAATTCATAAAGTAAATAAGCCCGAATAATTGACTTTGACACAATCATACCGAGGTGACTATTTCAAAACTTTAAATCATCAATTTCCGTAAGTGTTATAAACCAGTAAATTCTCTGTTAAATAAGCTTCTGTTTAAACATACATGACCGTACTTTCAATTGTTCGAGTGTACACATGTTTCACAATGGCAGAGTCGAGAAATGGCAGAAACTTTCTTGATTACCTGACATAACGGTGACAAAGATGATGATAGTGATGGAAGCTCACGATTGACCTTGAACAAACAACTCCCGTCGGTCCGATCGGGGATTCTACTTTAAGCGAACCAAATAAAGATCATCGTCATGAACCGATAGTTAAAAATACAGGATAATCGTAGCTAGCGGACGTGTAAAACTTTCGATTTACACACGAACAACGGGAATAATATTTAAGAACGCCGTCGTCCGGTTTGTATAAAAGCGTTTTAGGAGCCGTGGTGGTTTACACGAGGTCTTCTTTGTACATAGCCGCGCTTACGGTAAACGTACACATATACACACACAGAGAGAGAGAAACACAACAGTACACACACGAGACACACACGTTGTTTATTCAATTCTGAATGTATAAATCTCGAGCGACGAGGATCGGGATCCTCGATTTAAAAAACAAAAAAAAAATATATGAAGTGATCATCGCACACGTGTACATTCGTTCACCGACGCAAAATACAGGTCGTACCAAACTTAACAGTGGATTGTTTCTAACCCCCCTCGTTTTCTTTTAATCGTTTCTCCTCCTCGACAATTGACAGCGAAATGTCGATGATAAATGGGAATTTAAGGTGCAGAGAGATACTGTTGGAAAGTTAATTATCATCTTCTATTTCCATTGTTTCTTCGTTTCAGTTAAAGTTCATTGAGATCTTTTGAGTATCGGGATTTCTCGAGTAGATCGTAGAATGATGTAGAATAAAATATTCTAATGTTATAAATCATACATTGTCACTAAAAATAATTTTTTTACGAGACGACTGGATTGTTGATTGAGAATTGATGGATAATTTTCAAAATTTTCGTTCATGCGATGAAATTCATTTTTATTTTATTGTGAAACTATTATCATTACTTTGAACCAATGTCGAATTTTTACATAACTAACACAAATTCTTGTTAATCTTGAGATACAAGTATACCATACAAAAATGTTACATAATATTATTGAATTAAACTACGTCATAATACATCGTACATTTACTTTTTAAAGGGTTACGAATTTATGTTCCAGCATTAATAGTACCGAAAAGTGCATTGCGTAGCACAACTATAAACCCACCCTAAAATTTTCAATTCTTATGTATTGTGGTCAAAATAAAAACGAATCAAGTATGCCATATCTAAAATCGTGTTGAGAAATAATAATTCTTCAAAAAGGATAGATTATAATCCCTAGAAAAAAAAAGTGGTTCGCTTTTATTTTAACCACAATACATAACGATTGAAAATTTTAGGGTGGTTTTACAGTTATGCCACGCAATGTATAAAAATATTTCAGATTACGCGATGCAAGTATTTTAATTCATATTGAGGGCGATGGTCACCGATGACTTCCACCAATCGACGTGTTAAAAAAAATCAACCCATAAATTGCTAAAAAAAAAAAAAGTAATGAAGACTATGTAGTCTTCTTTATACCAAAAATTATCTCCAGAAGACGATATCACTTACAGGATCTGATAAACTAAACGAGGAATTTTTAATAAATGATTATTACGTGTTTAAAGTGTGGGGTAGTTGATGGCCAACGGATTCTCCTGTTGAGAAAGGGCAAGGTTTCTACCCCCCGAAGGACACGGTTTTCAACGACAGCGCGCGAATCAATTTTAATAGGGTGATAAATGCGGCGCATCGAGCGCGCCAGTAAAATATGGATCGTGCGCGGCACGAGAGAAGGGCCGCGCTAAAAATAATATTTCAGTTCGATTGCTCTGATATTTCGAGTCATCCATCATCGCC